CCCCCCACCTTCTACCTCAGTGACACCCCCCCACCCTCTACCTCAGTGGTACTCTATATTCTAGACAGCAATATATTGTATAAATGAGAGTAGAGCAGGACTTTGGCAAGTGTTAATTATATTATTGCTATACCTATATTTTGTATCTTTTTTATAAAATACTATATTATAATTTTGTTATAAATATTGTTATTTTAAAAGATTTTATTTGTTATATTTTTTATAAAGACAAACCCCTCTTTCAGCTCAAGTCCCACTAAAAAGGGGGTTATTCAGTTCATACTGAATGAAAGAAAAATCAGATTTACATTATTCAGATTGCGTTTATTTTTCTAATAAATATCAAAATGAAGATTGTAAAGCAAAGAAGGTAACACAAGCCTTTAAAATGGCGGTTGACGGATGCTTGACTCAACACTTTTGTTTTGACATCGAATAAATGTTCTGACAGTTTGTTCGATTGCTTATACTGTCTTGTATTTTTAATCGATTTTTGCCTATAATTTCTTTCTTCTGAAATCTTAACAAAATCTTACAAGAAATGATCAAAGGGGAACCTGTCGAGACTTGGACTATTATTTTATGTGGATGAAGTTGTTTTCAATAGTTAAATGTTATCATCTTCAGATGTGTGTTCATCATCTTCCTAGTTGATAATTTGCTTAAGGATCCACCCCGTAGCAGACCCATGTTTTTCCAAAATTTCACTGATTATGTAAATGTATCAATGAATAATAAATATACTCGAACAATTTGCACCGAAAAGAAATGTCCACTTTCTTTTAAAAACGTTAGGTATCAAACTATACGATTATCATTGTGAAAAAGTTCCACCTTAAAAAGCGTTGCTATTAATGGTTTTGTTTTTCTCATCAATATTTTTGCTTTCTCTTGTCTTTAAGATATGATTTTTAGTCACCATATTGGTGAAAAAACTTGCTCATTTGCTGCTTCAATATTTAAAGCATAGTTTATACTTTGTCGTTGTTATATTGTCATCATTTATATCACTTCCTGGTTAGGTATATTTAAATTTATCGCATGACTCATATTCCTCAGCGAATTCAGCTACTATCTATCGTGACTTGGTGGTGACGTAATTGTTTTATGAATCGTGTATAAGCTTCCCAGCTTGATCGAGACCTGCTGTTGATGGCATAAACAAAAGGTAGCAATCTGCGCATACAGCATTACGCATTGTATTGAGATACAGAATACGATAGCCAATCAGATCACTTGAACGCCATCCGATAAAACAGAAGTCACTCAAGCGTCGCGGGCATTTGAAAATCTTTTGATATCGCGCGTGGCTGCTCTTTAGGAGTGCTTTTGGACAGCAGTCTTCTCTCGCATGAACACCGCAGACCACTTGGACTGTTTTTTGCAAGTTGATAAGAGATTTTGAAATACGCGGTAAGATGCCATTCTCAAACCCAGTTCTTTTCGTCATCATACTGTCAACGCAAGGGTATCAAGCGTTTCAAGAGCGCCTCTCTTATCTAGATTCTTGTTGTATCTACGGTGTTTCTATTGCTGTAAACATGTTTTCTTTGATAAATTACAGGTATTCGTCAATCCAGCAAAACAGTACTTGCAACCAGCTAGCATGCTGTATGACGAAGGACTTGACTACGAGCAGTGCCACAATTTGCCTGTCGCAGCTGAAAGATTCTACGAGGATATTCTTACCCCAAACGGAATGTCTGGTGAAGATCTATGGAAGAAACCCCCCATGAGCGTTGGGCTGCCAACACCACCTTCTACCCCAGAGAAAAGCTCCTTAAGGCTTCGTGGAAGTCTCAAACTTATAGACACGAACGCTCTCAATATGCATCTATACAACAGCCCAGTTCACCAGAGCCCCAATAACAATTTACAAGTTGTTCCTGACGCAATCACTGGTGAAGATGTTCAGGATTTTATACCTTTTCTGACAGATCTTGGAAACCGCAGCATGGCGTCGCCCAACTTTTTCGACACTGCTGTAAGTCAGGGACAGTGTAATTCACAGACTAAACGAAGTCCACCACCATGCACTCCATCAGAATCTATCGTTCATTCACCATCATTTCAAGCAGAGCAGAATAACCATTGTGGATTTCAAGACCCAGATCAAAGTTTCACACACAACGGTTGCCTCTTCTCTGATGTTACAACTGAAGGTTAGTGTTGGAATTTTTATAATGTTTCTTCATTCAATCAAAATATCAGAATTTATCCTTTCCTTCAAAATCTAAAGTTCATATAGATTTAATCTTCGTCAAACTTCGAGTATTTGATCGATCTATAAGGTAATTTTTTATGTTTGCTACAAAAAGGTATGAGTCCCTATGTTTGCAAGTTATGTGCTCAGTACAGATACGAGTTTACAACGTTTTGCATCCACGTGCTTGGTAGTGTTTGTAACAACCCTCGCACGCTTAATTTCATCCCTGGAAAGTCACCTTTCGTCAATATGATTCCACGATGTTCATAATTTGATATCAGATTTCTACGGGTACAAATATATCTGTACTGGAGGTTTTCTAGTCTATTGACACTTAATCCTTGATTTTACACAGAATACGCTACGGCACGCGCCAAACGGAAATTGACACAAACATCTTTAGTAATTTCATTGATCAAAGATTTGTCGCCTAAATGAAATCGGATCGGTTCTCAAAGCGCCATTTAATGGCTTTTAATAGCCTGTTTGGTCTGAAGATGGGTTTTTCTAGACCTTCAAAACTACGAAACTGCCTGTGTCATTAATTAACTACTTCTAGGGTCTGTAGTCTGAAACGCCATTTGCATTGCAATCGTACGGACATTATGCTACAAGCTTGATGTAATAAGAATCGGTCGATAAGGACAGGTGTGCTGTCTTTTTTAGAAAACAATACTCTTTTGTTTCGTTTGCACACAGACAATAGGTTACAAACAAAAGCCGGCTTTTGTCGCTCAGGTTTCATTTTCATAATTGTGTATATTCAGTTTCACCCAATCAAAGGGGGGACAACACAAAATATATTATTCCTTTAACGTCCCCCGGGCAAATTCTACCGCCTTTCCCGTGAAACGCCGCTTCAAATTGTATTTTAAACCGAAAATGATTATTGGGAGTGAACAAAGAACAAGTTATGCATTTGTTTTCGTATCAAAATTTCATAACCCAAGATTTACCCACTGAGCCCCGCCCAACAAAACATGCAGGATTTTGGAAGTCAGAATAATCATCATAACTTTCTTGCTGACATTTGTGTCGTGAAAATCATATATTTATGAACCAGAATTATAACACCTCGCTAGATTTGTTTTGAGTTTATGATATCCCCTGATCACTGCGAAATGAGTTGTGATTTTGTATTAAAAGTTTTTAACCCACAGTAAGCATCGGAACAAGGGTAAAACTCGCCCTACATAGCAAAACTATGAATTATTTCATTATAATAACAACCAGTTTTGAAGAATGAATTTGCCACATTTTTTACAAAAGTTGGAAAGGTAAATGCTGGTGTTAAAATGCCTCGAACTTTTAAATTACGAAATCAACTGGATTCCCTTGATCTTTCAAGCCTTCATAATACACCACCCTTCGATGCGCTTAATACAAAAGAACTTAACACAGGGTGTTGGTAGAAAGTTGTCGCCATTTATTCAATACCCTACCCGTCTTGTCGTTATTTTCTGTATCTTACCCGTACCAGTTAAAGTTTCTTACAAACCTTTCGCACCAGTCAAAAGCGTTCTCTTTTATCTAGATGAGGATAAACATTCATTTTTCTACGGAGTATTATTTCTTTATTTTGGGGGAATTTCTCGAGGGATCTATTTAAGGTGTTTACTTGCAAGGGATTCTCTCTAGAAGGGCGAAGGGCTACTAAACTCTAGGAAAGGACGAAAGCTGAGTACTAGCTCAATAACCAAGAGCAGGGAATACTTCAAAGGAGGGATAAAGCGGGAATCAGAAGTCATGGTCAGTAGGTGGAAGGGCGTAATGTGTTAGCTCCCTTCGCTGTCTTCTTCAATTGATGAAGCAAAATAATAAAGGGTTTGTGTGCTTCAAGGTACTTTCTAAACAGGAATAAGCACCTCAACGGAGAGCTCAGGTTTCGCAGGGTGTGTTCGTTTGAAGATATCGCACGCGCCACTAAATGCAAGAGCCTCCTCTTTTTAACTATCGGCACGTGCCTCTCTGAGACTCAATACACTAAAATACTTTCTGTTAACCGCAATGGCTTTGTTAAATGACTACTCATAGAGCTACAAATTTACTTTTTGAATTTGCTTGGCGGTGATTTTGTTAGCTGACAAAGCTAAGATCAGAACAGCGCTATGCTTTGGTGTATTTTTGAATCACCGGCCACTTTCTTTTATTTCTGTGACTGAAAATCAAGCTTATTGTTTTTGGTAAATGAATGTTTAAAGGCGATGACACTACAAACAATGTATTGATGTCACTAGAGTGGGTGATTGCCATCCTTCAGGAGTATTTCTATTGAGTATTTTCCATGATTGCTCTCTTTTGTCACCGTTTTACAAGTGCAGAAAATGTGCCTCTGTTTGTAGAAAACGTGCCTCTGTCTCATCCTTCAATAGCTATCTTTCAATGTCAAGAAACGACCAATAAAGAGTTCAAACATTTGTTGCTTTTTTGAGATGCATCATTAATCCAGTCAGTTGATGCAGAACTTAATACTTAAGTTCCATTTAAAGAATTCAAAACTGCAGCCCCTGACATAACTTTAGGAAATTTTGGTTTTTGATAAAAAATTAGAAGAAGAGTGAAAAAGTTTCAAGCTTTCGATTCCTGACAATAGAAATTAGTTTTTGTTGAGTCAATCATATTCGGCATAATGCTATTTTGTTTTATAGGAAACTATTTTTAAAAACATTAGTTGCAATTTCTGAGAGTTAAGAAACTCTTGAATAACGAATCTAGGATTTTCGCACCTAGGAATCACCGTTTTGATATTCGAAATTCGATTTTTATTTGATTTTTAAGAGGGACATTCTGGAAAATGTTTGTTCCGTACTGAAGATACAAATTTTGCCTGAGCTTAAGAACCAATCTTACACGAACTAGAGCAAATATTCTTACAGACAGTCACTGATTTGATTCGCACGAATGTACGTACACTTTGTATTGTCACGAACAGGCCCTCAACGGTGTTCGATCGTTAATTAGCCTTCAAAGAAACGAATGATGTTAGAGCTTCATAATGGCTGGAGCTTATGTTCTGAATTCATCAAACAGATGCGCGAAGCAAAGAACTAAGTGCACAGCCTTGTAAGATTTTGAATATGTGATGTTATCAAGCTGTTGCATTCAAATTTGCGCCAATTCTGATGGGAATCAGAAATAGAGATAGAGTTTGTGGAGACGTGAATATTGCGAGGGGGCTTTTTTCCCTGTCTGCGGGGTGTGAGAACGTAGCTTTTGTCCCTTCCGAACGATAAGATAGCCATAAGAATAACAAAGCGGGGTTTGTTTGTAAATGTAATAGCTTTTGAGTTCGCTGTAGCACCTGTATGCCAACACAAAGGCCCCTTCCAATGGACATTTTCGCCGAGACCCACCAAAAAATAAACCCTGGCTTAAGCATGTTTCTTTGTTATTTTGACACCTCTAGATCAGTGCTTTTGCTTAATTTCTGATTCAGTGTTTTCAAAATCTCGATGATTGCCACAAGAACATTTCGGCAAACAAAATTTCCAAAATGAAAGTCTCTACTTTCGTTCAACCGAGTCATGCACCCGAGTAGCTAAAGCAGACTGTATTGTCATGATGGCAATAGAAATGCTTTTGACAAGGAACGGTTTCCTCAATTTTCGCAACTGAAAGGGAATTTAATGGTTGTCGTAGAGGGTCTTTGAAAATGTTTTGCAGAAGATGGCAGTTTCTTTTCGGTAAAACTTCAAACAAAATATCCTCCGCCTGCTTTCAAAAACTTAGTGCTCAAATGCTTTTCTTACCTTTCCATATACCTATCTTATCCCGAAGGTGGAAGAAGGGTTTTCCAAGATAAATGAATGCATGTAGATGGATGGGAAGCTACACTATAAGGTATTAGGGTCGTTTAAAGCAGGTGCAACGAGTGAAGTCAGCAACGATGTTCAGATTTTCGATGTTTAACAGTCAAAGCAATTGCTAATTAACAATATAAGAATTTAATACTATCAGCTGTGTTGAATCAAGTTAACCTGCGCATAGCTAAAGATAATTCGCGTCTTGCATCCGCACATTTGCAATAGTCCCTCTCCCACGCTAATCGTTGATTCATAATTTAAGGGTTTTTTCGTACGAGATCTATCCTCGTCATTTTTGCCACACACTTGTTGCAGACTGTACGTGCAGTCTATCTTGTTTAGAGAGCTTTGCCTGTCCTTGGCAGAACGTTGTTGTGCTATGCTCAAAGGTATGTTGCTATTGTAAGACATGTGTGCTTTACTGTCATTTTGATAGGATCTTGATTTTAATTTGAATCTGATCTTCGAAAACAGCTCTTTACTCGTTTAAAGAGGCTAAACATTCATCTCTGATTTTTTTCTATTTTGTATTAAATTGAAACTTACCTTGTATAAATTTTTTAACAGAATATTGAGAAAATATCGAAATGAAGAACCTTTCAGGGATTTAAATGATTTCACAAAATTCTGAAAACTAATGCAAAACCTATGATTTCTGTCCATAACCTTTTGTGGATTGTTTTTGAACTTAGAAAATTTATGTTGGCGTCAAATGAGCATTTCCAAGAATCTGATCCCTAACTTTACCTTAAGACTGAGCAAGTTTGTAAAATTAAATCCAGTAAGTTGCCTCTAGAATTACTATACTCGAAAGCGTCAGTCCTTAAATTGTGAAATCCGAAGATTTAGGCCACAACAGGGGATAACCTGAACGTCTTCTAGTGACAGTTTGGTCCAGTTCTTTAAGCATCAAGCCTTTTTTCTTGCTGCCATCTTTGATCATCTCAATAAATTGGACCAAAATGCGCTGGAAACATTGTCAAAACATTGAATTGACACAAATCATATTCAATTTCTTTTCGTATCGTTTTGAATCTATCCAGGTATAAACGAAATGGCCAAAAATATCAGGGTATTTGTAATGAATAGGTCATCTGTCTCACGAAAGTTTGAAATTCTCTAAAAATGCCTTAAGTTGAAATCAGATAAATTTTTCTTTCTTATTTGGAATAGTAAGTTGTTAAAGACATTGTAACTCGACAGTCGTGGTTACTAGGACTAGAAATCCAATGTTTATGAGTCCTCGTGAGACTTCAAATTGCTTTGGAGATGACAAATAGAAACAAATAAAGATTTCGCAAAGAGTTGTGATTCTTTGTGCACGATTGTGTAAGGACGTATAGTAGAGGTTTGTCTTTAAGAATGGTCGTGTGCCGTTTCAATGGACTTTTCTAAAATAAGTCTACCACAAAACCTCGACGCGTGGCTGTAATTATACAAATAACTAGCCTAGTCAACTATGAAATCTCACATTAAAAGGCTTTAAAGAAAACCTTTCAAGTTGAATTAATCCTAGATCATGATATGTTTTTCAATACTTGGTATGCGGATTTCAATGACAGTTAAACCAACAATAAAGATGGCGTTTTTGTTAGAGTGGTTTCGAGGATTTGGAAAACAACTTTCGTTAAATTGTATCGGACACTTAAAATAGAACTTTTAATTTGTCGCAAGATTTTTTAATCATTCCGTGGTTTACCAAGCAATGTTCATCGAGAATAATTGTCAATATTCTTTGCTTTCTTGCCTCAAGCTGTTTAGGCGAGAAGAGTCAGACTTCTTTTATGAACTTTATAAGGGGTTTACAATTTTCTGATTCGGAGGGGTAAATACAGAAACGCAGCCCTTTTTACCAATCGAAAGTTTTGCAAGAACCTCCCTCGTTCTTTTCATACCTAAAAGAAGTCCCTCGGTTTCGTTTATTGTGTAAAAACAAACCACTCGGAACTGCTCTTCTCAAATTATTGACTGAACACTTAAAACAAATATCTATCCCCGTTTGTAAAAATAAAAACTATAGTTTCCATGAGAAAGACATAGGCTGCCATATCATATAGTTTCCAACACAATAACACGGTTTAAAAGTCAAAATAATCTTTTCATGTAAAATATTCTTGTACACACATTATCAGATCAATCAGGGACATTCTCAATGTGGAATTTTAGCAACATACTGTGCCCGTCTTTCTGTGGGTTTGTGACGAGCGCTTATTTGAAATAAGTTTGGGAATTGCGCCGAAATCTGCGCCAAAATATCGCTAAATTCAATAAAAGTCAGTGCACCCCATAGTGATAGGGTGAGATTAACTGAAAGGGGTTTTCAATCAAGCATCGAAATTGACTGGGGTTTGAAATCTCACACAGAAATTTCACACACTCAAAAAACTGTTTTTTTTAACCTAAGAGGTTGACTTTCTAAGAAAAATCCAATGAAGTCTCGAATTCGATATGTTACGACCCGGTCAAGTGGAGTTTCGAAGAAGCTGTTAGAAATAATGACTTAGATACTGCACCAGTATATATTTACGATTTAGTGCACGCTTACACCAAGGTACGGTGCCATTATTCTCTTTCGGTTCGTAAAGTTTCGAGTCTTTCTGAATAAATAACAGAGGCGAGTTTGGTTTCATTATTTGCTTGTAACAATGATCTTCCCGGCCGTCTAGGCACTTTACAGCTATAAACCTTTCGTTTTCTTTTTTGATCAATGTCCCTAAAAAAATAAAAAAGCTACAAATTTTCCGAAATGCCATCTTTTTCAAACGAAAGTGAAATCCTTAAATTTCTTTTTCATTTTACGAAATTACCAATTGAAGCTTACTTGGTTATTTAACGCTGAACCTTTTCTTTGATAGGTTCCTTCTCGATCACGACGTACAGAGACATCCAAGCAGGAAGTGGCACAACCACAGTGCCAACTTGCATCTCAAGTATGCGTGAGACAGTGGTGCCAGAATGCATGCTCTCCCCTGTTTCTCCATCAAAGCCATTGAAAAGATCGTACAGCGCTATATCGACGGTACCAAACTCGATGCAGCGAAACCCAAGCATAATGAATTCTCCTGTAGTGAGAAAGCTTGACTTTTTGGACGATTTAACGCATAATTCCGCTCAGATTGGGCGTAACCAAGTTACGCAAAACATCGGACAATTACACCATAACCATAATGTGGGTACATTAGTACCTAGTGTTGGGGCACACTCGTTGGCATCGCTGCAGCAGAGTGATCAGTACCTTCGACAAATTAAGATCGAGACTGTAGAAAATTTTCGCAAAGTCGATGATACAGAAAAGAATGGTGGAGAAACGGAATTGAGCCGTGCAACACATAATGTTTTAGAACGACAAAGGAGGAATGATCTAAAGATGAGATTTCATATTCTTAGAGACAATCTCCCAGATTTGATGAATAACGAAAAGGCCCCGAAGATTCAGATCTTGAAAAAGGCTTACGAGTTCACACAAGAACTTAAAGCGCAAGAGCAGAGACTTTTAGCTGACAAAGAGCTTGAGCGCCAAAGGAAATTCATATTGCTTAGAAGACTCCATGCTTTGAGGCAAGGATTCTTCGATTACTAGCCTCGTTTGTTTGTTGTTATAGCTTAAATGCTCCTTGTGGAGATATTGATAATTTGTAGAACGGTGTGATGGTTTATTAGAAAGAAAGGTCCTGGGAAATTTAATCATACTAGAACCATGCATGCCAGGGTTATTATTAATAAATTGATCAAGACTCAATTTATTTTGCATCGTCTTGAGGGTCACTGCATTACGAGCATCATCTCTAAATTGTGTCCCTAACGAGACTCACTCTTGGCTTGCTTGGTACTGTTGTTTTTAAACTTTGCGTTGTAACAATAATTTTATCGCTAGAGATGCGACAATGCTTAAATTAAAGCCTGTTCTCAGTGTTGCTGGGATTAAATAGCAGGTCTTCTAAGGGGAAGTTGGATCACAAAGAACACTACAACCTCCGATTATCGAAAAAATACACATTCCCCCTTTTCTTCATAAGATCCCTCCCCCTCTTTACAAAGCCTTATGCCGCTTAGGCCAACCTTTTCTTCTTTGCTGAAACTGATCCGGCGTCCCGGAAAACAACCCTTCTACTGAATCATCCATAAGTTTGCAAATAAATGCTGCTTTGTTAGCTAACCCGCTTTATTTTGTTTCCTAATTTTTGTATTTTCAGAGACTAGTTTATTCATTGGACTTTTAACTTTGTATGACTTTTGCAAGATAAACGCTAATTTATCGTCAATGCGTATTCAGGTTTATATGAAATACGCCACCAATCGTTAACAGGCGTCATTTCATTGAGACTCGCATCAACCTCTGGACCTTGAAAAGAGAAGCCACACCGTTGTACGAATCGCTAGCAAGATTTGCTGACCTCTGTTTATGCAGAGTTTACAAAAACGTTATTAAAATTCCACTGGGAATTGCAAGGCATTTTGCCATTAACCGTGAACACCGAGGCCAATCAGCTATCTACAACCTGCTGTTATCTCAAAGGGACTGGCTGTCTTAAAAATACCCCCAAATGTGGATACCTCCTTTTTTATTGGTCTCCCAGTTCCAACACGTTCGCTAGTTAAGAACCTTTTTGACTCTATATGGATTGCCTATTGTATAGAAACTTATAGGCACAGAATCTATCTTTCTAAGGATGTTAGTCTTTTGTAAAACAGCAGTTTTTACAATGGCCTCGGTGTTTCATAAATATCGTTTATTTACAATCTATGTAATATTGTACTTTTTGTGTACACCTTTGCAAAGATAAGCTATTTGTTTCGTGTTACCGTATACCATCCATGAAGCGTTAACTCCAAACCCACGACTTCCAAATTCTTTACCTGAAGTATTTGTCTGATCTCACATCTTTTTCCAAATATTCCGCTTTTTCTAAAAAAAATCTTAGCAAGATTTCTATAAGTCTTGACGTATACTAAGGAAATTGACTGAGTCCTTTGATTCGTCTGAATCCTTAACCAATACATAAGAAAAACCCCTCATTCGCTGTTACACATATCCTTTTTCCATATTTCCATCTTTTATAGACTACAATTTGGTGATGGGCGTCTACAATAGTCGTTGTTAATGTATTTGTATGATAATTCTGTATAGTGTGATTTATAGAAATTTGGTATAAAATCTGTCAGACAATATATACATGTTTTAGGCGCTTGTGACGTAATCGTACTGTTTTCTAGAAACACAAACGTGTTGTACACGAACCCCCACAATTACTTTTCCATTTCTCCTTTAATACCAATAGGGTGTTGCTTTTTCAGCTATAGAAATTTGTTAAATCCAATTCTAGGCTAGCTATTTCTTGGCCTAACTTCCAATAGTGCCATTCGAATACCATCTATTTCCAATTGATAGTCATCCTGTTAACGAATATCAAACCACAGAGGAATCATCTTTTATAAAAAAAATTCAATAAGAGAAGGTATTTCTGCCACCCTACCCCCCCCCCCAAGTTTCTACTCCTATTAACATCGTTTCAATCTACCCTGTTTTTGTCGCCTCCACAGCTACTCGAAATACGGTTCTTCGTTTCCTTTTTTCTGTAAAGCATTCACGTATGGCTGTAATTTAGAAACCGTCTTCTTTATAACTTTGAAATCGTCATCCAATGTCATGTAATTTCTCTGATATCTACTAGTTTCTAGTTAGCATTTTATAAAGGTTTTTTTAAATTTATAAATTTCTTTTTCTATAAAATGAAATGTTAGTCTGTCGATGATTCTTGCTCTTTTTATTCGATGCAACTTTGGCACTGTAAAAGCTACATTATACCTGTACTCGTGATATTTTCTGATACTTTTCCAACGGCTTCAAGGCTGCAATTTCAAGATAAAAGAATATATTAAACATAAAAAGGGACATGACTGATTTTAAAGCACATAACACTGCGCAAGTTGCAGAAGGTGTAAATTGAGGTGAACAAACATAGAATATTTTTATAGCAGTGCATAGAATGCAAAAGAAACCTTCCAGAAATGGAAAGCATTCTATAAAGCAATGCAAAAACACTTAGAAAAACTGAAGAACCGGTTACATTATATCAAAATTAAAAGAAAATTTCCTATTTTACCGTCCTATACAAGATGTTTTTCCTGGAAATCGCGTGTTTTTTATAGAAACTTTTCCGAAATATAAATTTGGCAGAGCATAATCATTATTATTATTCTCATTAGTAAGAAATGCCTAGACTTGCAAAAGATGATCGTGTCTGGCACCTGTTGTCTCTACAACAGACTTTGAATATTCAACAGTATTGGACATAATCAGGCGAGAGGATGTGATTACTGTCCCGAACTAACCATGACCTTAGCATAAATCTATTTATGGCATTGAAAATAATTATTAATGCTAATTAAAACTGCAAATCTATGTTTATGCAGTATCAGGAAAAATTTGGTGTCAAAACAAGTCCTCGCTGAAAATAAGTTGGAGGGAAAAGAGAAACACCTGAATGCTACAATGCCTACCAACGAAATTTGAACACTCAACAGTTTGCGTTGTGTTTTCGTACTTTTTAATTATTTTCCCCGAGCACTTCTCCCACCCCAAGAACAGTGTTTACAGTTTAGAAAAATATCATACAAGTCACACGAAGAAACGTATTTTCTTATCTCCAACGTCGTTTCAAGGAAGGTGACATTGTTCAAAAACGGAGGGGATAAAGTTTCCCTTGAAAACCGACGTTAGAATTCCAGTATTTTGGCAGGCATTGTAATAGGATAATTTCAATTGAGCGATATGGATATTCTCGAGCATGCAAAAACTAGCAGCCACTCCTTAACAAAGAAACCCTAAACAAAGCAATGCTTTATTGGCCTTTCCAAAAGGGGAAGTCATCAGCCTCTCCCAAGATGAAACTCCAACAAAAGAATCTTCCCTTTTATTTCCCTTGACACTGCTCAACAGTAACGCCTGTTTGTTGGCCTTTCTTCGCATACCACTGCGAGATTTGGTGTATGGGCCTAGCTTTCTGAATGAACAAGACAACAAACAGTAAGTAATTTTAAACTAATAGATATGTTTTGTTTATTTATGTTGAAAAAAGTGCAATTTTAAAGTTTATTGGGCTTTTGCAGCAATGAATGAACGCAAATAAGTAACTATATGTGGTAAGAATGCACAGCAAAGCTACTCATTTTGTTCCAGCATCGTAGCTTCTACCCAGACAACAGAGATCAATACAATAACCTGATACAAGTTATTGTATCAGTTAGCGTTATGAATGAAACCAATTTGAATAAGACAAGGAATTTGTTGTTGTTTAGGCAATTATTTTGAAGTCGCTCTAGATATGAGAAGGCTAATTTGCTTTACATCTTTCAATAACATGTGTAATATCCACCATATATGTATTAAGTGTACCTTAAAGGCACCTTTAAAGAATATATCATCCATAATTAGTACCAACGCACAGGCTCTACTTACATTAAGCGAAATGGAGCTCAAGAAATAAGAAAATAAGCATCTAATTTTGCTCAATGGTTTAATGTTCAGTGTGGCAAATGCTCGTGTGATCATTGCCTGGCATATCTTGATAAGAATACTTGCGATAACCTATTTATAAGATTTTTTGAGATTTTTCAAGCAAATTACTACTTAGATAGTCTATGGTCTATGAGAAACACTTGAATTGAGATTTGCAGCATTCAAGTCAGCGCCATTATGTTTAATTAACATTAAGACTTTTTCACTGGACCTTTACCCAAGAAGCAGGGAGGGGGGGTGGATAAAAGTTGAGGTGGGGTATGTGCCTATAAAAAACTGTTAATACGCCTAAGGAGGCAATCTGTTATCATGTCGTTAAACAAATAAATGATAGTTACAAGATATGTTGAAAATGATGTGGACAGTCCAAGGCTCAGGCGATAGTCGATAGGTTTTGTAATCTCAACCTTTGCATGACCAGAGTATTTGAATATATTCTGTCATAAAATGCTCGATTCCACATATATAGGCAAAGTTGTGAAACTCAGAGTAGCAACTTGGATTAATCTTGCTCTAAACACAAAAATAATGAATATAATCCTAGTTACGGTGAATTTGGCATGATTCGGCCAGGAAAACGTTACCGACATACATAATGCGCAAGTCGACAAAATCTGTTGCAGAAATACAATATATTTATACTTAGTGTTTGCAGTTTTTTATTTAAGCAACGAAGACTCGAAGTGAGTTTAATGTTATCAATATTTCAACCATTAACCTTTGCTTAACATGTTGAAAAAACCATAAAGCAATAGCATTCTAAAATAATCTGACTCTGTGTTCACGAATTAAGGTGACGTGTTCACATGCAACTCGTAGTCTAAATACATTTCTTATAAGCTGAAAAAGATATAACAACATTTATGTCTTTGTTTACGAAAATTTAGCCAGTAGAGCCAAAAATACTATTAAATTTAAAACCTAAGCCAGCTATAAATTTATGATGGTCTATTTTGCACTATTTTTTATGATCAAGAACAGTACATACAAGAAACAATTAATCAAATAAATACCTAGTAAAAATTATGATAATACAAGCAAACAAGAATATTCTCAAATCTATCAATGAATAGTCATAAATAATTGTAAAAAAGCACGCACAGTTCTGTGAAACAGCGCTAGTCTGTTGAGAAGGCTTTTGTGCTGAAATCATTGAAAACTAAAATAGTTTTAGCATTGGAGCGATTCTGACCTTGCTTATCAAAACAGTCAACCCTCCCCCAAGCAATTTGCTTTTGTTCATCTGAAAGCTCTTTAAGCGAGTTACCTATATGATTAACTTCAACTTTCTTATCTTGCATCAGATAAATCTACAAAAGTGAGATTTTAACATCATTTCATCAACAAATCTTTATTGTATTGGTTTTTCGTTCCTTGTTAAGTAAGTCCTGAAATCGTGAAAATGAGCACTTAGTAGAAACGTTCATTTGAATAGAAACAAACTCGACAGGGAATGACTAACGGCGACTGAAAATCAAAAATCTAAAATCTTCATGATATGTGTCATTGATAAGTGCAGGTTGTTGATAACTTATTCAAACAACTACTTTGGTTGAAACAAAGCCAGAAAGGCATCTTCCCAAAAACTATTGAGTGAATTAACACATATGCGGAAATTTAGCGACGGGTTTCCGATTCAGAAATTACTTTGAAAGCAGATATACTAAAAAGATAATCAAATCTATTCTATTCTACCTTGAATTTGCATAGTACAGCATTATGAAGATTTTCGAAATTTGCTAACTTTCTTAACGACTCTTTCAATAAGACTTTTCCAGTCGAGAATTTAAGCAAGCAAACAGATGGCGCCAGAATTGTTCCTTGAGGGACATCGACCAGACGGTGAGCATCATACCCGCTGTTTTCGACGCCGTTACATTACGCATCACGACATAATATATTTACGGTTATTTTGCTTTGATTTGCAAAGCAGACGGAAGCTTGTATAGTAAACAAACAGATTTTGAAAAATTGCCAAATCTATTACCAAAATTAACAAACAGAAGGTTCAACTGCCTTTGATGCTTGCTTATAAATAGCTTACGATTTCTATGGTAAATAAAGAATTTGTCTGATCTGCTAATATGAACACAAACCATTGATTGTGTGAATTACTTGTTTAATTAACCTTCAAAATTAAACACTGTATAGTCAGTCAAAAGTGACTCGTTTGCTAATCGAGATGAGACGTGCCTCTCAAACTGCTAATACAATACTTCATAATTCTTCACCTTACGGCATCCAGTTGGTTCATTCACAGAATAAAAAAACAACAAATGATGACGAAAACAAAAAATTACAAGATTTCATTTGCGGCGTCTTTGGTAAAAGGTCTCTTAAAGCCCTTCACGACAATACCAAAGTCCAGAAACTTTCAAACGTATCTTTCCAACAATAACAGATAGCCTTGGCGAGCTAGACATGTGTTCAAGTGGATCTTTTTCATCCTAACTTAGAAGATTTCCCCTAAAACTTGCAAAGTAAAATTTCATAGAATGCATGTATTCTATAGCTTTGTTGACATCACCTGATGTTTATGACAATAAATTATGCATTGTTTTCCTGATCATTATACTTTTAACCATTTTGGGACTTGTGATGTTTTCGCCATTTTTTTATTGTCACTATTGTTTTGAAAGCAATGCCTCCCATTAAAAATGCAACATTTTAGTCTTCTGGGCCATTAGGCCATTTCAGTTTCTTGCTTTCTCAACCGATGGTAAAGACTCCTGCAGCAATTACACTTTTATTCAATTTTTCCTTTGTAAATCTACCAAAATCATAAAGACTCCTGCAGCAATTACACTTTTATTCAATTTTTCCTTTGTAAATCTACCAAAATCATAAAGACTCCTGCAGCAATTACACTTTTATTCAATTTTTCCTTTGTAAATCTACCAAAATCATAAAGACTCCTGCAGCAATTACACTTTTATTCAATTTTTCCTTTGTAAATCTACCAAAATCATAAAGACTCCTGCAGCAATTACACTTTTATTCAATTTTTCCTTTGTAAATCTACCAAAATTAATGTGTGCTACTTTATGGCAAAATAACTGTCAATTCTGAAGCCATTGTCCACACAAGAACAGGTTTGATAGTGAGGTACCCAGAGCAGTTACATAGCCGAAGGATCAACCCCATTTTTGACTTGATACGATAAGTAAAGGGGGATTTAGAATTACAATTCCTTTTTCACTTCATTCGTATTGAAAAGACCCTAAGATGTTT